CTTATCAGTTCTTCGCCACCGTGTGTGAATAGCTCGGCCGGCAATCCATCGGCCCCCGCCGCTTTGTTGTTCTTCAGGCGGGTAATTGCTATTCGAACTTCTTCTTGGTCGGGCAATGGAACGTCAGCTCCATCGTCATCGATTGGTGAATCGGGTTCACCTTCTCCTGGCGTTGTGCGTTCACTGCCATTCAGCAGGCTGGAGAAGTGTTCCCTCCATAATTTAAGAATGCTCTGGGCACCGAAGACCAAATCACCTTGTAGGGTTCTACAAGACTATGCCCCGGTCTTGAAACCTTCTGTAAGCCGCCGTATTTTTTCGTAGAATTTTCGAGCATTACCTGTGTCGGTCAGCTTATCAAGTCGTTCTCTTCGTACTCACGCGTTTCGGCCTCTTTCTTTCTCTGCCTGCAAATGCGGCTCGTACCTATCCCATTCCACACTGTGGAATATCATAACGTTGCGAGGTAGGCAGCCTGTTTCCTCTCCACTGCGACACGGTACTCCTCGTCGTACCACGTTCTTTTGTACTTTCCGAAAACCAATGGTTTCGGTTGCAGCTGTACGTATGGAGTTTGAAATGCCGTCCCACAGTTCCCTTATACCAAGTTGTTGACGAGTGCTCTCAGAGGTAGGAGTGCTTGTGTTTGATGGCGTACATTTTTTGCTGCATAGAGGCGGGGGCATCTCGCATAAGTGCGTTCCAAGCACTCATAAAAGACATCTTTGGTCACATCGTCCTTCTCTTCCGTCGGGGCGTGGGCGCAAATCAGCGGTATGTTGAAGAACCTCACTTTGATGCGGATTGTGGCTAGACGTTCATTCACCGGAGTGAATGATAGCACACCAAACTTGCGCTCCTTTATATGGCCACTGTAGTAAATGCCAGAAGGACCTACTCGTCGCTGTCCTTGTCCCGGCCATCGCATTTCTTGGATGGCGGTGATGTCAGCCTTTATTTTTACGAGGACATCAACCAGCTGGGCAGCGGTATCTTCCCAATTAAGGGACCGGACATTGCATGCCCTCAATTCGTAGTCCTTATTTTGTTTGCCATGGTCGTCATCAAAAGTGGGGTCTCTCATCCGAGGCTGGTGTTGTTTTTTAATTGGAGGTTTTTTTACGTGGCGGGTCGCAAACCCAGCGCACAACCCTATGCAGGGGATGTTTCGCCTTCTCACTTTACCTCACCTTCAAACGGATGTTCTTAGGCTACGCAGAGGATACTTGGTCAAGGACTGGAAGTCGTGAGCTGCTTGAGTCATATGTAAAAGAATCGTTTCTGGCCACTCCCAAGTGAATGGCGATCAGAGAACTTTCCTCACTTGCGTGAACTTCTACACATGACTCCATCCTCCCTACCAATAAATTAGGAAACAAATATGATTGTTTCAGCAAATGGCCAGAGTATATACAATTCCTAACCAAGAGGCAGAAACTGTAGCAGGGGTAATCATCAGCAATTGGGTATCGAGTTATAGTGTTCCAATAGGATTACATTGTGATCAAGAGAGGGATTTTGAATCAGCTTTAATTCAGGAGATGTGCCAGAAACTGGTTACCGGAAAACTCGTACAACTACACTACATCCACAGTCCGATGGCATGGTATAACGTTTCAACCGAACTTTGAAAAAGCATTTAAGGAAAATTGTGGATAAGCAACAAAATTATGATACCCATATATCCTTGTTTCTGATGGCTTATCGGTTTGCAAGGGTAATTTTTGCTCTTCGGTTACCGACTGATTTGAAGCTTGGAATTAACAATACTAAAAGAAGGRATGCCAAGGAAGTCGACAGAATCCTGGAAGACGCGATGGGAGAAATTGATGCTATGGTAAGCCAACGCACTAAAATTATATGTAATAAAATTAAAGCAAAATACGACAAAGCAATGAACTAGTAGGGTTTTAGAGAGAAAGATTAGGTTTTGTTATATAACCCCCAACGAACTAAAACGCTGTCACCCGTGGAGTCGGGAAGGATCATACTAGGCCATTATGCGAGTTAACGCATACAGATCATTGGAAGACCTACGAATAAAATGAAGTTAGTTCATCTGGAATATGTAGCTTGCAACATTTAGTACCGCAAATATGTCTAATAGGGACGTTCACATTTAGGGCATCAAGGCAGTGCGGCGATCATCGCCATAAACTTCTTTCATCGATTGAAGAGTTTCGGTAAAAGTTTTACCAATTTTGAAACATAATTTAGTTTTGGCTGACTCTTAAAACGCAATAACTTCCCTTCCAATCAATGAAATGTCATGAAATTCTCACTGGACAATCTATTTCTAGATTCTAACGCACCAGTCGACACATAGATAGCGCCACCAGGGGGCGCTATTATAGATTGAAAAGTCCTGTTTACTTTGGATCGCACCTTGTAGAATATTTGAAGCTATATATATATATAATGGATTTTTGAATAAGAACGCTGCAAAAGTTTTTGCCAATAAAACAAAAACGGTTTGGGATATCAATGAAATTCTTTATTCGTATGATAGAATATAGTTACTGAAGAGAAAGGTTGAAAGAGTGAGAAAAAGCACTTCGTGTTTTGCTGCCCCTATTGGTGTACTTTTCTAGCGTAGCTCTTGAAAAACCCTTTATATGTTTTTCGCATTCACTGATCAAGCCGTGACTCACAAATTTTATGAAATTAAATAAACCCTAAGAAATATAAGATTGAAATATACTTACATCAATAATTTTGGCAACAAAAGTGTATGATCCTTCAATATCTGGCCAATCTAGTTGATGCCAGAATATCTTTATTTGATAAAATATAGCTAGAGTATCCACTGCTGATGAGCTATATTTTACCGTATCATCAACAGCCTGCAATTGATCCAGTTCAATGGCTTTATCAATACGACTTAAAGCTTTAACAATTGAAATGTCGAGCCAATGAGTAACGCCAGGCATAAACCAAGAATAAAACTTGTCTAGTGCTAACTCGCAATTTGTACATATCGATCTACCTAAAAAATATTGTAAGTTTATAAACATGGGTGAATATAATTTTACAAAATAACATATTTTTTTATATGACTGCAAAAAAAAAAAGAAATAACAATTGCCGAGTTCTAAAAATAATAGGGGACCCTGGGAATTCAGCACATTGATTGGCCAGGAAACTCTCCCATTGAGTACGTTAGAGCTTATACCAGAATTAAAATTATTGTTTTCTTTTACTGAATTGAAATACAAAGTTTATTTAAAAACAATAAAAATAAAACGCTTGTGAAAAAAGGTAAGAAAAGCTCTTTTGTGTTTTATTCATAAAACGAGACAAATTAAATACCAAAATAATATCTAAGTAATTTAATACAATGTATTTGTGCTTCATAAATACATTAAAACAAACAAATTAAAAAAAAAAAATCCCAAACCAACGAGAACATTTTAAAAGACAGCGAAGAAATTAAAGTGGTAAGTTCTGCGTGGCCGCAGGTTTAGGGAGAATTTTTCTATAAATTGCTTCATGCTTCTAAACCCCTCTGAGCGGATTACTCATGACTAAATTAATAGCGGGATTCTGTAACCAGTCTGTAGTCTCTATTTGAGACATTTTGAGGTAAAGTCTCAATTTGTGACTAGTTACTTTTCACTTAACAATTTCTAGCGTTAGTCTAAAATATTGACTAAAATTTGAGACCTGGTAGTTAGGAAGTCACAAACTAAAAAGAACTTTTTCTGCCATTTTGAATATATAGAATAGAGATCATCATTGATATTAATCGATTATCGTTTTTTTTATATTTTGTTTACACAAACACGAAAAGGTTGAAAATAAACCAATTTTACATACATTTGGTAAATATTATGAAACAAAGCCAACGTATATTTTTATTTTTATTRATAATTATGTTTTTTGACTATGTTATAGAAAATTTAATATTTGTTATCGACATATTTATTTTCATTCAAGTGTAAAAACTTGTCTGAATAATGAAATGTAATAGATTTTGAGACTGTCACTTACAGAATAGCAAAACCGTCTTAAGTCTCAAAAAATTTCTCTAACTTAAAATTTCAAATTTAGAGACTTGAGAYTGTATCACAGTACAGAATCGCACGGTAAAAATATCTACAGTATATACACATTTATATATAAAAATAAATTGTATGTAGATTTCATTATGTAAGTCCTAGCCTTGCCTTAATACGTAAACCATTCAAGAGTTACCAACAGCGTTGGGTAAGCCCCGCGTTTTCATAAAAACAATAGAAAATATTGCCTATCTACAAATATGTTTGCTTACATATATAGACATGTAGAATGTAGTATTGTTAAACTTACAGTTCATCTCAGTCTTCATATAAAATTGAGAAATATGAACAAATTTTATCGCCTAGGTATTTATGAAAAAAATTATACATGAATTTCATGGAGATATCTTACAAATTGAGCGATATTTTCAGAATATCTTGGGGCTTAAAATGGTAATGTTTGATTTCACCGATTTATAAACACGAGGCATACATCACCTTCACTTCAATGCTCTTTTCGTACAAAATTTAACTCCGATAAATTTGTATGCGCTTGATATATAATTATTATATATGGATAATAGGCGTGGTTGTAGACCGATCCTCTCATCACAATACAGGCTTCAAACATAATTCTATCCACCGAATTTGGAAGCAATCCTTTGAGAACTTTCTGAGATACAGATTTTTAAGTAAGGGTATACAGTACATAAATTCCATTGAACACTGAAGTCTTGTTTAGCGGGTTAAAATTATGATATTAGTTATGTATAGGAAGGGAATGATGGATGGGTCAAGGACGAAAGAGTAGGACGATTGTCCCGCCCCGATATAAGTATTGTGCTTGACGAGGGTGGGCAAAGAGGCATCTTTGGTACAACAGTTCAAAAAGTAGGCCTCTATGGCGAATCGTCTCCAAATGGGTTAACACTGATCGATTCCGCAGGAGCCCGAAATAAGATTATATGTAATACTAGATTCGGGCAAAAGAAAATACATCAAGCTACTTGAATGTCTCCGGATCGAAAAATTCAAAACCAGATTGATCATGTTGTATTAGATGGATGACATGTTTCTGACGTCTTTGATGTGCGTATGGTCCAAAGAACTAAGAACGACTCGGACCACTCTATTGTTCTAGCGAAAATACGCACTTGCTTCAGTACAGCAAAGCTCGCCCGTCAACAAACACAAGAAAGGTACTATGCCGAAATGATACAATGACAACCGACACCTTAGCGCGTTTCCCCCCTGCTCTCGGATAGCACTCATCAGCAACCCGATGTAGGGGAATTATGGGACGCCATTTTAAGCTCTTTAAGAAAAGCTTCAAGAGAAACCATTGGTTTTCAGAAAAGTTGAAAAAACAGCTGCTACGATGAGCCTCACGTATGCAAAAAAAAAAGAAAGAGGCCGAAATGAGTGAGTATGAAGAGCTTGAGAAGCTGACCGACAGAGGTAATTCTCGAAAATTCCACGAAAGTTGCGTCGGTTTACAGAAGGCTTTCCGGAGTATACGTTTGTATGGCCCAAAGTGGTGATCTAGTGGCTGATATTCAGAGCATACTGAAGTTATGTATAATCTGGAGATGGCAAACCCGATTCAAAGAACTGACAAAGTGTTTTTCTTTGCAAGATATGATCGGATAAAAGCATTTCCAACGATTTGATACTAAGTACTCTGCCCTATCCACAGGGAAGGGAAGGGAACTCCACAATCTGCTTCAAATATCGTGGGATAAGACTCCTTAATATCGCACATAAGGTTTTAGCAAGCGTAAAAGACTGAAGCCCGCCTTCAACAAACTGATTGGACCTTATCAGCGCGGCTGTACCGCTGGCARAGCTATTATTGACCAGACTCTCACCATGTACCAAATCTTAGAAAAGACCCGTGAAAGGAAGGTCGACACACCATCTTTTCGTTTATTTTAAATCCGGTTCCGACTTCGATAAGAGTTTATAGCTGCTCGGGTATACCGATGATATTGATCCTTGGCCTCAACAACTAAGCCTTTCGTTCTGCTTTCTTCAGAATGGATAAAGAACCGAAGCAAATGGGTATGGTAGTAACACGGACATTGCGAAATATCTTCTGACATCAAACAAACAGTTATCGCGTTCGCGAATTGCTCCCCACGTCACTGCTGATAGTCATAACTTTGAAGTCGCAACGCAGAATCACTCGTCCTAAGAAGCGCTACTTTGATCTTAGTAGGCAATTGAAGTTAAATCCTCTTTCGACAAACAAAGACCAAACTCTACAAGTCCCTCATCATTCCCGCAATGCTATATCATGCGAAGGCATGGTCAATGACATCATCTAAAGAGTCGGCATTAGAAGTGTTTGATGGACWGATCCTGCACGAGATATACAGCGACATTACATAATTCAAGAGGCTGCAGCTGTGCTGGCTAGGTTTTKTTGTCCAGATTAAAGACAATACTCCAGCGAACGGTTTTGATTCAGTATCCGCCGGCAGGAGCAAGACCTCCATTCCGTTGGGGAGATTTGGTGGATGAGAACCTGACTGCACTGGTTATGTCAAATTGGAGTTGAATAGCGAAAAAAATTGCTGACACGCTGTTGTTAACTCGGCTGTAATCGCAATAACGGTGTCTACGACAGTAAAGGAGAAGATAWCTCGTTTAAGGGAAGCCTTCATACGATTCAACCCATTTTTGACATCCAGGCATACTATTACTAGGAAAGATTTCGTCTGAACTTCAATAACATACCTGTTAGATATACTGATATTTTTGATCAAATGTTCGCTGCAGGAACTGGGGTCCACAAATTCGGAGGCTTGAACAGCCGTAGTCCAATTTTGAAAATTTGGTGATACAAACTATTTTATTTAATTCACTTCTGCTCACTAAAAATAAAAAAAAAGTCCTAAGAAAGTCCTGAAATATCGAATTAGGAAATTACCGTTAAAGAGAAATATGATATTTTTTCCAAAAACAAATGTTGTGGTTTAGAATGATCAGTATTGATTTCAGCTTTGGATCTTTTGGCATATTATTAAGGGGTCAGTAGGGTAATCTGTTCCGTATTTTTCCGACATTTTTTTCATAGAAATTTTTATTCTTCAATAGAACTTTTTCACATATCATGAGGTATATTGTGGAGTTTATAAAATTCTTTTTCGGAATTGTTTGGGGTGTGCACTCCGAGTGCTCCGAACGTCGAGCGGTATTATTATTTTTGAGCCTTTTTCGCAACCATCCAGGGGTACTTTACCAGGGTAAAGTATGTTTCTACATTAATTCTAAGGGTATAAGGGAAAAAAAAGATTACCTAATATTCTCAAATCAAAATTTTGTTTGCCGTGTTAATATATCGCACAACGTCTGGCACTAAAATTATAACATCAAGAGAAGGCAAACCCGATTCCCCAATCGATGACGATGGAGCAGACTTCCATTGCCCGACTATGAAGAAATTAGAATAGAAATTACCTACTGAGACTAGAACTGATAAGGAGCATGCATCATCTTTGTAGAATATGATCGGATGAAAACATGTCCAACGATTGAGATTTAAGTGTGCCCTCCTTCTGATTGGACCTTATCAGTGTGGCTTTAAGCTTGGAAAAAATACAACTAACCAGATGTCCAACGATTGAGATTTAAGTGTGCCCTCCTTCTGATTGGACCTTATCAGTGTGGCTTTAAGCTTGGAAAAAATACAACTAACCAGATGTTCACCGCTCGCAACCTTTCAATATACTCTTAGAGAAAACAATTCGAACTGCCTAACTAACTATCTTTAATAATAGGTTGTCAAAAAAGTCTTGCGGTATTTTTTTATTGAATTTTCCATTGTTCATAAAATTTTTTTTTGACGACTAATGCCCAGATCTTAACCGACGCCAAGGCTGCTACTATGCCGGTCTCTTTCGACMAATTCAGCGATTTTATCGAAATTTTCAACGACAGGCCTTCCGGAGCGATCACCTCTACACCAGAACGAAAACGTTGAAAC